ATGTCGATCAACCTAATCACAGGTATATAATTTGGTTAGTTGGGAGCCGTTAAACAGGAATTACTTAGCTACTAACTTAGTAGCCTCACCACAGGATCTATGGGCGATAAAATAAGTTGTGATTCTGCATTTTCAGTTCATGGTGTCCCTTTTAGTACATCAAGCCATATAGAAGCTTATTATCGTTTTCTAATTATTAAATCAAAAATTCAGATGGCCCATTTGATTCCATTTGTCTTTTCAAATCCGTTTGCTGTGTTTTCCCTGATAAAATAATCAGCTCCTTTCATAATATGCAAAAATTTATTTGTTTCAAGTATCTCAAACATTACAAATAGTTTTGAATTTAACTGTTTTAGCCATTAGGAAGACCTCAAGCAGTAAGCATGTGATCGGCATATATATATATATATATATATATATATATATATATATAAGAAGATTTATAGACACGAGGTTAGCAACCCCATTCCTTAGAAAACATCCGGAAGAAATCAGTTCAACCATTCGAACTCTGCCCTGGGAGTTAAATATTCTCCATTTTGAAGAGTTCTGGCTCTATACTGTGAAATAAGATATTTCTTGGAAACCATGAGGCCGACACCCCTTTTGACCATCAGAAAGATTACTAATATAGGATGACAAAGTGTCCAAACAGTGTAGAAGATTGAAAGGACCAGTCAAATATCTGAGGAAATGAAAAAATTACAACCTGGTAGTGCTTGGAATAAGTGAAGCCCATTAAATAAAATGCTGGACTGAAAAGACTAGTTTCGGTAAAGTTTCTACTGTGCTCCAAACGTGAAGAAGGAAATGATTCGCACACATATGGAGTTGCACCAACGCTGTCCAAAGAAGCACGAAAAGCACTTATAGGGTGGGAATCCCATAGATCACTTATAAATGTTATCGTATTCCCTCATAAACTTTTATGGGTTTCACCGGCCTACACTTCAGAGAACAAGATCGATCATATTTGCATCAATAAAAAATTCAGACAATATGTGGAAGACCAGAGGGCAAGGAGATGAGCTGATCTAGTTTCAGGCTACCGCCTGGTGGCGGTTAATATGAGAATGAAGTTAAAGAAACACAAACAATCAGCAACAACTTGCTGTGTCAGAGAAGAAATCGGCTTGCAGTTGTGGAAGAAACTAGTAAAAAACATTGGATGTAAATAAGACACATAATTTGGAAATCATCAAACTGCATCACAAAGTATGCCATAACTTGGAATCCTTAAGGCAAAAGGGAAAGAGGCCAGGAAACACATTGCATAAGGAATTGGAGGCAGACATCAAAAGAATAAATAACAAATGGCAATATGTGGAAAAGAGAGCCCAAGAGTTACTGATGGGAACGAACAGTTGATTTAACATACCTTGTTTCAACGCATGTGATTCGCACATTTTTCATAAATGTTTGTGACAACAAATTCATCTAAACTAAATTTAGTTGAAAATATTTTAAGAAAGTCATCTATCCTGTCACATTTTATAGAATCAAATTTAATAAAGCGCTGTTAATCATTACTCTGTCTTCATAAATGACACAGCAATCCTCGTTGAGTATGGAGATGGGCTGGATCTGTTAACTAAACTGAATCTGAAATATTGTCTGAGAAAAATTGGTCTTGGTGTTTTTAACAAACCCATAACAAGTTGACAAAACTTTTATAGAATCTAATTTAATTACTAGTGAGAAATCTCAACACTTGACTAGGGTAGCCATCTAGAAGGATAAAACAGGCTTCATAGAAAACCTTATTTATCGAATGAATGATACTGATAGGTAGTGAATATGATATGATGAGACGGGTAGTGCGGATGCATAGCTGTTGGGACTATTATGAGAATGTTTATTATTTATGTTTTTATTATGTAACTGGTAAATAATTGTATTGTTGCATTTCTATATCCTCCAATTTCTAAAATTTCATTTTATCCATAAATCATTACCCCAGGTTTATCATTAGTTGACTATTTCCATATCACTTCTGTGTTGTATCATTTATGTCTAAGCCAAGAGATACATTGTGATTCCTTTAGTGTGTTACTATGTAGTCAAACATATCCAGTATATTGTTGTATGAGTTTTCAGTCATGATTTAATTGAGCATAATAAAGTGATTTACTCTTTACATTTATTTTTTGGTAGATCACTGGTTTATGAGCTGGAGGACCGATAAGCATTAAAGTCTTAGTTGTTGCTCATCGGTCTGTATGTCAGTTGGAAAATAGGTTACCTGTTTTACTGGCGATGTATGTGAACGGTTCGATGATCGAACAAGCGAGAGATTAGATAACCGCTTTCCTATCACTAAGACCCGACCACACGAGACCCAATAAAACCCAAGAAAGCAATCTGTTTTGTCTCCTACATAGCAATATTCCTTAGTTAGTCAGAATGATTTATACGGTGAACACGTGGATAGGTGGCCTTAACTGAGTAAATAACTCAGTTGTTTATTATAGACCGGCTAGGCTAACATTCGGTTTACTAAACTACCTTGGAACATCGCGTAAATTGAGAATCAACCCTTCACCTGTTTAGTGTATCTATCAAAGGGATCGGAAAGAATTTAAGTTTAGTATAAGCAACGCTTATGAAACTATGCATTCCGCATTTTCATAGTAAATTTGCTATATTGCAAGGAGTACTACTAGAAAATACTGTTCAGGCAAATGTCTACTTTAAAAGGAATATGAAAGATTTTGTTATAGGTTAGTCTACAAGTATTATACACCTAAAAGATGAAGTTCTGAAAGACGTCGTTTTGAACAACAAACATTACATTAAAATAAAATATGTTAACGACAGGCTGAATACTTTAAGACAATTCCCTAAAATTTATTATAATCACTACTGCTAGAGGTCATAGAAAATAAAGTTCTTTCATAAATAGATGAAACAAGATAGCGGAAGCTGGTCTAAAAATGAGTAAAATAAAAAAAACATATTATCAAAAGCTGGAAAGCGATCCATGTTTTGCATGCTGTTGATTTAAATCACAATTGTAATCATTATTGAATAAAGAAAAACTTAGAAAAATAAACAAACAAACAAGCTGTAATTATCTAAAAACATAATTTCTATAAGGTTCATAAAAACTGGAATGAGTAAAGTCATTATGTCAAGTAAAGAAGAGCTACAAAATACAGGCTATGTACCAGAGTTAGCGGGCCGTTTCTTCTATGTTGATAAAGCACACTTACCATTCATTCTCAAACATCCTTAAGGATACTGCTTTAGTTCGACAGAAACTTAACAGTCAGTCAGCTACAACGTAGGACCAGGCACATATATGCATAGGTCCAAGTTGCCATACCTTATTAGCACAGCAAGATGAACATCGGATACATAGTAGTTAATTCAGAAACTTAACATATGTGTGTTTTTTTCCCTGGTACAGATACATTTGACTGGACATCAGATTCCCAACGAGTTGTACAAGGTCATCTCAGACATTTCAGGTAACGTATGTAAAAAGCAAGTAAATGAAGAGCCTATATGCATAACAGGCACCACTGTCAGTCAGTAAACAAAAGCATTCGGCTGAAACTGAGTGGAAAACATTTTCGCCATTGCGTTTTAAAAAAGTTATGCAGAAAGCTTAATGAATGGTATGTTGTTAAGATTATTCCAATATCAGCATACAATCGTAAGACTGAAAGCATAGTTGTCAGTATGAATAAAAGTGTTTCTTTCAGTTATTATTTATACGAAGTTACTATACAAATTGATTATAAATAGCATCTGACGATGATATATTTTGTTAAACTGCACCTGATAGTTTTTGAAGATATTTGCATATAGAATGTGTGACTGATTGCCCATAACTATTCAAAATTAGATACAGACAATCGTGTATTCGAATTACTTATCGTAGTAATTATATCCTAAACCTATTTGACAGAATTCAATCAATGGTAGCACTTCATGTACAGAGGCACATTGATTAGATCGGGCTCTAAAAGTAAGTGATTATTTCGTATTTATTTCCGAACTAAAGTCACTGTTAAGCAAACTGTCATAAAAAGCTTTAAATCAAACATCGAAATATAAAGAATTGTGATACTTTTTCTCAAGCACACTTTAGAAATTAACAAAAATAAACAACTGTTTGGTGGCCAAAGGGTAAAGGGACTGTCTGCAATGTTCTCAACCAGCACACTCAAAGACAAGAAAAACATAAATTGCACAATCCCTAAGAGCTCAACTAAACGTTCAAGGTTACACAAATTAACGCTAATGATTAATATGTCAACAGGATCAATCTTGTACACAAGTATGGAATTATGGAAGAATATTTAATTGTATTCCAAAACATTATTAGTGTACTACTAATTTACCCCTTAAAACTAAGTGTAGAATTGGATATCACCGTTAAACTAAACGCGAAATCAATCGAAAGATGGTGATTGTGGTTGAAAGAAAACCTAGGCTAACATCGTTTCTTTACAAGCTGTCACCCTGAATTCAAACGACTGAGGGATAGGAACAGACTTCAAGGAAAATATAAGCTGCGTATAATTCCCTTTCATCAGAAGACAAATGCATAAGGTATATTTGTCTAGCCAAACTTCGCATATAGCCCCCGTGCCAGGAAATCACCCTTCAAACAAAGCGACAAGGATATCTTATTGTAGAAGCATAACATATGATCTTATTCTCTGGCTGAATATAGGCCTTCATCCTGAATGGGGCTCTGATTTAGTACATAAACTTGCAAGTGTTCCACTATCTAGCTAATCCTATAAAAGGATTAGCGATTTCGAAAGTTACTGTAATTTAATTTCTGGTCTTTTTGTTAACATCATATCTGCTATCATGTGCTTATTATCATGTACTAACCTTCGTTTCTAATCTATTATCAAAGTAATAACAGTAATGATCATGACAGTCACTTGTTCTTACTTAATTGTATCATCCGTAAAACAACCGAATTACAAATCCATCCTACGAAAGCCTATCACATGCAAATTACGAATCAATATGAATGTAGTTGTCCAATTGGTCAATCATATTTGGCCAATCTGTAAACTGCCCATCTAGATTTTGTGTAGCAAATCATAAATCTTGTCATCCTTCTTTTTCTGATTGGCTCGAGGAACTGGAGTCACAGTTGTTGTGTTCATGACGAGAACATAACGGAAATCACTTTTCAAAACACTATTATTTTTTCTGGCTATACAGAAAGTAGCGGTCGGATTTGTTTGAAGTGCTTTATAGTTTGTCAGGATGTGTAAAGTAATCTCGAGTACAATTTTAGTACTGTTCAACATCCCACTTGTGGTATGCTTCCCTTTTTGAATTATTGATTTACATGTGCTATTTAATTAATATCTCATTTTATTCTGTCAAAGTAAAATTACTGAATAACGTTCATAGGTAACTATAGTTAATTGAGTTTTCTAACCATCACAATCTGATGTAAAGTTGATTTAATAGGTCTTAATTGAAACTATTTAATTATTGTTTGAAGGCATAGAGTGGTAACTAACTAGGACTAACTTTTCAACCTGAATTGAAATTACCAAACAAACTGGCTTATCAAATGTTGAGGACTTTTTTCCTATGCTTTAAATTAGAGTTCAATCGTCCAGTCTTCATGAAGTGAACGACGGCTTTCTGTGCTAAGATTATTCCAATATCAGCATACAATCATAAAACGGAAAGCATAGTTGTCAGTATGATCATGATTTTTAAATATTTGCCCCTGTATATGATTAACCTAGTGAACCAAAATTCTAGTTAAGCCTTCAAACAAGGTCATCTATTTGACGCGGATAGTATATTTTAACTCTGTATGACTACTGGTAAATCGTGCAAACTGGATTTCAGCATTTTACAATTCCATTATCAAAAACAGTTCAGCACATCATGAACACGATAATTATAGGTAAAATAATTAGTTAGGCCAGAAAATTACATTCAAGAGATATTTTTGAAGTAACCATTTTTCTTGTGATAGATAAACTGATTTAATAAACTACTTGTAATCCAGGAGAACATATTCATTTTGTTGTATCGTTAAACACTATTGAATTCGTCCATTTTCTTTTGTTCTTTTCGATGTCTTGATTAATCACATGAATTCAGCCCCGTTATTTATTTATTTGGTTGGATTTGTTTTAGTGTGAAGTTGAATAAGATTAACTGATACATTCATCATCAGATAACTAAAGCTGATAAGTAGAGCTTCCCTTCTATTTTAATTAATGACAGTAAAAATATGCAGCAAGCCGATATTTTTTCTTACCAGTAAGTTAGGCCAAAAGCACCTTAAGTTGTCCATCATGTAAATGAAATGGATTTTTTCAAGTTCACGAAGGATGTTATAATAACATTTCTGACTGCATAACAAGAAAAACACCTTTGTACAAATTCAAAATTAACACAGATATCACTACTGATAATGGACTCCAGTTTTAGTACTAAGGTTTTTTGACATCTGATTTGAATTACCAGCAGCTGTGATGTAGCCACATTTGTATTTGAGTTCATTCGAAGCTACGCAACTATACCGTTCGATTATATTTGGATTAATGATTGCTCTGACATTGTAAATCTTAGAATACTTGAGAATTTATTTTCGTTCATCGTGAGTTGTCATTCTTACCAATATATATAAGCCGGAAAATTCGTTAATACATGTGTTTTAAACAAACCTAAATACACACCTGAATGATGTGAGTATTAGGATACTATCGACACCAATCATTTGAAGATCTAGTTTGTTTTCGAGGTATTTTTTTTCACACTTATTATACATTTGCAATCTTAAATGGACTATTTTCATTAGAAAACTGTTCTGTACCATGTTTTTATGTTGTAAAAAGTTACTCAGTCATATGAAATGTTGATTAAAAATATGAGAATCTCAAAGCAATTCGATCATTAGTTTTTTGTGGGACATGAATCAGCTAGCTAATCAAAATCTGTAAGATATTTAGATCCATATCATGTACGGTAATATACCAAATCAAAAACTTGTTTTCCCCTATTTTAGTGACATACTAGTAAATAATGGTGGAATTTGTTTTGTCTAAGTTAAGATATTCTGACTACTACCTTACATTCCTAATTTATTTTTAGTATGACAATAGTTATGTTTCTTTAACCAACTTCTCATACATACAATTTTAATTTAGCAAATATATTAAAAATTAAACTTTAAACAATGTAATATAAAGGTTATTTGGTTTTGTATCATAGTGATTGGCATGAAAGGGTGTCACAATATGTAGGAATTGTGTAATTTAAGACGACAAATAAAACTGATCGAGTATTTGAGTATTCTTTAATTTCAAACGAATGATTTACAGACTAACAATTAACTCCCTGAGTAATTGAACTATTAAAGCCTACCAACAATCCTATTTTTACTTCATTAAGGGTGGTAAGAAGAATGAATTGACTTTTTGTTTTTTTATTTACCTAGCTTACCACTGAAGGTAAAATTCAGCAATAAAAAACTTGTTTTTAATTAGTAATCTAAACTATTACATTTATTTTTGATTGGAGACCTCTCTAAATACAGAGATAGGTTAAGTTAAAGAGGTTCCATTATACTGTTATAAGTACTTAGATTTTTTGCCCATGTGTATATCTTGATTACAACATAAGCAAAAATAATGATTCTCCAAATATACTACTAACTATAAGTGGATAAACTTTTTCATGACAAAATAATCATCTTTTCAGTTTCAGATTCTATTTTCGTTAATCAATTCGGAGCCTGTTCGTTAAAAAATAAAACAATAAGGGGAATCATTTTTTACAAATGATTTAAATTAGTTAAACATTTAATTGTCGAAATAAATGAAATAAAGAACAACCAAAAAAAGATATTGATCAATATAAAGAAAAGTAAACTTTTCTTTTTGTGTGATCACCTAAATTAATTGAACTAGTCGCGGATATGCACAATGCCATGAAAGTAGCAAAACTTGGTGGACCAATGAATTACACACATATAAACATTTAAAGTAAACAGGTGCTGATTATAAGATACTTAATACAGTTTGTGGTGTATGATCCTAAAATATAGGGTTAATGTCAATTAGCTATTTGTATTTTTTAGAAGAGGTTTTTCCTCTATTCGGTGGAATAAAGGCTGTTAGTTATTTTAACTTGACAGGTCAAAACTAAGTAAGAGATGGCTAATTCGATATCTTATTCTGATAAATCATTAGTAGTTTCTTATCCTCTGCAAAAATCATCCAGTACATCCTTTTGTAATTAAATACCGTTGAACCATTACTGGTAAAGAACCACTTTTCTCACCTTTCTCCCATAAAAATGATTAGCTGGTGTATTGAATTTAATGCTTAAAAAAGATATCTTGTTACGCAGCAGGCAATCAAGCATACATCTAACTGGGTGAAACAGAATCAAATAAGAAGTAGCTAAAAACTTTGACTTTGTGAGGTTTTACTAAGTAGGATAACTAAGAAGCTAGAAAAAAACTACGAAAACTGCCCGTAAAAACTTATGTCACCGTTGATTTAGTAATTGTATTTTGAAGTTCTTATTAATTTGAGTAATAGAGAAAGTAATAATTCTTTAAGATTTGAGGTAGGCGAGTTCTTACACCTCAAAATCTTCGAAGGGTAAGTACATTTGACTTTTTTTAGGACTGAATAGATCTGTCCAGTTTGTATTCATTGGATGAAATGAACTACATTATCCATTAGTCATATGGTCATACGGTGTTAATTTGTAACCACTAATCCACAATCATATACATGATGTACTTGACTTTGTTACTGTATGAATTATATAATTATTAATTGATCAATCAAATATATCGTTGAAATTAAAATGTGAATATGATTTTTTGAGTTCGAGATTCATTTATGTAACAATTTTTGATGTCAGATTGACTCCGCCTTACCAGTTATAGAATAAATCAGTAACTAAATATCATTAATCGCAAAAAGTTTGTACTTCCCCATTATTGATATTCATGGATGAGTTAATTGATCTGTTATAGCATATAGGGTGCTTGGACAATTTTTTCGTTTGTTGAAATCATCGATATTGTTTTATCCCCGACATGTGATTAATATTTATTAAACAAGTGATATTTCACTACTCACTGGCATGATAGATAACCACTTGACGTTTGAAGCGATTTGTTTTAAATTGGAATCTCACTAGAGAGACATAACTAATGAGTACTCAAAAGAGTGACTTATACTCCTGAGATTTGGTTGACGTTAGTACTAAGTAGAAGTATCTTAAAAGCAAAGATTATTTACTTAGGTAACTTCTGTAGATTTGTTCAATTTGTGAAAAACTTTTAGCCAGAACGTATATTCATTAGGCAATCATCAGAAACCGGAGGGAATGGGATATATATTTCACAATATTTTGGAAATCTTTATCAATGCTCATCCACAGTCGAACTAGTAATTGTTTTCTAAGTAAAACCTGTGCATTTATCTAAAAATACTTCACTCTTATACCAGACTATTATCTTAATATTTGAAGTCCCTCTATACCCACGGTCACTAATAAAGCTTAGAAGTTGGGTTGGTTTCATTTTTTTTAAAATATCCACCTGAAGAAAAAAACATTTTTGGGATATTTTAAGAGATACCCAGTTCAGTTCCTAATGAAATTCCCGTACTTAGTTGAAGCGTAACTATTTAAAAAAAACAACTGTGGCATTCTTGCCAAAACCTTATTCTATTCTTCTGTACATGAGATAAACAGATCACTAAATAAAAAACAGAGCAATTTGTTTACCAATGTGTTACTGTTTACTGGTATATTTTTTTGTTTTTTTTTTGCTGACATAAAAACAACGAAACATTTCCATCTATCGAACATTTACATAGTTTCCCAGGAATTTTGCTTTTAGAAAAATGATTATGATTACCTGATTTGGAAAGCAAGTCATACAATTACTAATTGTTGTTTATTAACATAAATAAATATCTAATCTTTTCATCACAAAACTAAATTCATCAACTATTGTTTTGCTACACAGAAAGGTAAATCGAAAACTTGCTAAGGTCTAAGTTAAACAGTGTATGTTAATATAATTCACAAGATGGCTATCGGAATAAGTTTAAAATAATTCAATTTGAAATGGATTGAATTATCCTGACTAGCCAAAACTGATTAACTTTCAGTTAAAAATATCAGCAATGAAATAATCCAGTCCATTTCAAATTTAATTAATACTCATACTCGTTGCATAAATAAGTGCTTATGTGAACTCAGTAGTTAAGTGGGCAATGCGATAATGTTTAAAGTGAACGATCCTGGGTTTGAGTCTCGTAGTGAACACCAACTCTAGGATCCAGGCACAGTGGCTGATGAGTCCTGTGTAGAAGGGAACGCGCGTCCCGGATTCCACTGCTAACCAAATCCCATCTTTTCTATGCTAAAATTTAAAATACTTTGCATGATACAAACGGTAGGCTGTTATGTAGTAGAAAATCGCGCTCATGTATTTTATTTATTATGTAAATAAGTATTGGTGCTTCTCTAAGAATAGTTTTCTTATCATTTTGTTGAGCTGAACTAAAATGATTTTTTTTAGTTGAAAATAAACTGTTGACTATATGATGACGGTATCTTGTTAATAATAAACTAGAGATTTTGATTAGAGCTACACTTCTGCTACATCTACATCGTACTTAAGAGAGACGTTACTCAGAGGAAATGTACAGATGCATACAGTAAAATATTATTAAGGTAACAATTTATTTGTAATTTTCTAATCTTCACTGCGATAGAGTTATTTTTGTTAACTAGCGTAACAATCAATCTTCCGATAACCAATATTGTAATTTAGTATTCTTTGTTACGTTTTTGCATTCTAAGTTTAATTTTTACTTCTTACGGATTTTCAATAGATTATTGGTTTAGGACTTGTAGTTTTTGGTGCTTTAATACGATGGAATGAAAAACTTTTGGTTGAACGAATTACTCCTACGATTATCGAAGAAATAGATGATGAGAATGCACGTGAAGCTGCTCAGAAATTAGTAGAAGAAAGAATAACTTTATTCGGTAAGTATTTTCTATTCCGGAAGTTTTATTTTAAAACAACACTGGTCAAAGTAAGACTTTAAATGGCAAATCGGTTATATCTTATTTGAAAACTAATTAATAGTACACATTTCAGACCTCCATTGATATGTGGATGTGTACAATTCACGGATAGTGAGCTATAAACCCAGTTGGTAATATCTCCAACTTCTCTACTGTGCTATCTCATCGCATTCAGTGAATACAAGATAATGATTTCTTTTCATAACTAAGCAACTTTGGAGCAATTAACTCTTATCACTTTCAAAGCTTTCCAAGGTATGACTGAAGAAAGGATTCACTACAAATCGATATTGATTTCTAAAACATAAGTTTACTGGTACTGTAATTCCCACATAGAGTTGGGTTGTTAAACAAATTCTCTCTAATTTTTGGTGATGAGTTTGACACTTATTAGATGTTATAAAAGATTAAATGTCCTACATTTTATTAATGGTTAAATATTTAAGCACATTAAAGGTTTCTTTTCCTATGTTGTTTCCTCATTTGTTACAAACAGCTTCGTATGGTTTGGCAATTTTCTTGTTCGGTCTTTTCATTTGCGTATTGTCGCTCTGTGGAATATGTGGAGTATGCTGCAAAAGTAAAATATTACTTGGCTTAGTAAGTTATTAGTAGCAAATACTTTTAAATTGTTTTGAAAGTGGATTAATGTTTTGTTTTAAGTTATATTTGACCAGCTTTATGGCGATAAACCATGGAAGTTATTTAAATTACAAGGTATTTTCATGAAGTAAACTAAAACACAACATGAAAATGAAGATGCTGTTTCCAATTAAAATAAATTAAATGATATAACAGTCATCTCATTCCGTAGGTTTGATTAATATGACTGAGCTAACATGTTTTTAAACGCAACTCACCAATTTGGCTCAATAATTTTGAGGAAGTAAATTTAGTGGGCACATGTAAGTAAATTCGAGCTCATCATAAATAGGCTGTAATGTACATACAAACTCTTTTATTAGCCACTATCAAAATGCTTTCTATTAGGTTATAAAAATCTGAAATTGATTCATTTCTGAAACTTACGTTTAGGCCAACATTTATGAATCTGAATACAAATAATCAGAATGGAGGTTTTGTGGAGATTGTAGCAATTCAATAATTGGATTCATGAGTCGATTAAAGCTAGACCACCATGGGAAACCTGGAAGCACCATACTGCCGTTTCGCTCCAGAATGGGATTACTCGACAGTGCGCATCCACAACCCCGAACGCGGGGCTCGAACCTGGGATCTTCGGTCTCGCGCGCGAACGCGATGATAATCATCATGCGCACACTAGTGACTGGCTTCGAGAGGAGTTCTAGTGAGAAGCCGTGACCAGTGGAGTTCAACCATGTCTGTTATGAGGCAGTTACTCACTGAAGACAATGGTGCAATATGGTGGATTGGTTGAAGTTAGACATTAAGACGGCTGGATGCCGACTCAGTGGTGAAGGTGTTAAGCGTTGGCATGTGAGACCGAAGGTGGTGTGTTCGAGTGCTATGTGTGCGATCGTGATGCTCACTGCTGAGGAGTCCCAAACTAGAACAGAATGGTCGTCCAGTGCTTCCAGCTTTTCAATCCTGGTTTAGCTTAAATCGACCCATTAATTCAACTATTAACCAATTCAAACGTTTCATAAGAACATTGAATAAACAACTGTTTTATAAAAGACTATGTTGTAGCTGTGATTGTAAGCTTTCTTTTAATTCTTTATATCTCATACAAATTTGATGTAGCAGTTGGTTAGGCCTATGTCTATCATTCAGTGCTCTTAATTAACTGTCTTAATTATGCATTTGTAATTGATGCTCTATTACTGTCGGATAATCGTAATGTCCAAAAGGCCTTGTCATAAACAGGTGGATTTTCAACAATCAAACAGGTTGGAATTCTTTCTTGAGTAACATTAGTTGGACGTTTGTAAACAGAAACGTGTGATTTATCAACTGTAATTTCGACCAAAATGAAAAAGTGTGTGATAATCACACAACTCATGGTTAAATAATAAGAATAATAAGTTAACAAATAATGCGTTAGCCTTTCGCACATATCTTCAATTAAGAATCAGATAAACTGGAGCAACTTTACTTCTGCGTAATGTTAGTCTTGATTCAATGTAAGTCTGTCAGCTAAATGACAGTTCAGATCACTTTTCTAACTCATTGGGCGAAATCCAGTTATTAATTAAAAAACATCTAGCTTTTACTTACCCACCTTAGCTGATTTGTTCACCCTCCTCTTTCCTTCTTTGAATTATAGTGTATTATTATTTCTTCCTTGTTATTTCATCTACCTTGTTCTATTTTCTATTTCCTTCCTTTCATGTAGCATTTACTTTTCCTTCTAACCTTTTTATCCTACCACAAATCGCGAAGAAATGTAACAAAAAAAATCCAGATGTAAAAAGAGCTGAATAAGATACACTGTTTGCAAATATTCAAACACTTTGTAATATCAAACAGATTTAATAAATTTTCCATCAAAATTATCATGTATATCATAAAACATGAAGAAAATTGATAACCTTTGCAGATTAGAAATAACAATCATGCATTCATCTACTTCACTTTCTTTTTCTCCTGGTCTACACTGCTAAACGTCATTCTACTTTCTAGACATTGTCCTGTTTCAGTAATGGTTATATATAGTATTGATCGTAAATTTCGTTATACATCCCATCATAGTTTTTCAAGGTATTGAAAATTTCAACATTGATATTCGTTGAGTGTAGTTTAGTTTCGAAAGTGTTGCGTAAACTAAGACTGATTAAGAATTATCTCCATCAGTAGCCCAGTAATCTAAGTTTAGGATCACCTGTAAACTCATGGTGTGTATTTTTTTGTTACTAGCTATTTAAATAAATAAAACAAATGTGACTGAATCCATCAATTTAAAAATTACAAATAAAATAAGATGCTGTCCACTTCAACCAATGAAATATAACTTTATGGAATTCATAACTGAATAAAATAACGTTAGTTAAAGTTTATTATAATGTTGACTCTAAGAGTTTGGTTAAGAATAGAATTACAAGATTTAGATGTCACTCAAAAAGCATTAATGTAGGAATATTTTGGCTGATATAAATTTTTCATTTCACTCATAATGGATTATCGTGGTTTGATTGATTTCACTACTACTAGTTTGTACACATCATTCTTTATTTTAATAAAGTTGACTTTATTTTTTCAGGGTAGATTAATTTTAAAGATAACTTGGTAATTATTGGAACAGAAACACAGATCTATGAAATGATAACCTTTTATCATTACACCATAGAATTGCAGAATTCAACTAAGATGAACTGACCTTGACCGATAGAGGTGTTGATTAATAAAAAGTAAACATGCTAATAAACAAGCAAAGTATATCACAGTAGCAAAATTCAAAGGACAATTCAACTACATCAATGTAATCAATGGCTAACTGATTTCAGTCTGCTTGAACAAATAAATTTAGTAAGAAGTAGTATTATCAAGGTTTGACTTGATAATTTGAACTAAACTGAATATTGAGTAGATTGTTGGCAATAAATTAATGATATATTTGTGATATCCCAATGAGTGAAAATGATGATTTCTGACTACGATTTTGATTTTGACCTAAGTAAATATTCCGCCTTATTTCTTTCTACTATTTAAACTTGTGTTAATGCAAACTAAGTTGTGTAAAGTCAGAAATTTCATTTTTTGTTTTTATTCATTGGGAAGTCTCAAATGAATTAATAAATAGTAAAATGAGACATCCGTCATTAGTATAGAGTTTTTTTTAGATCTTTTTAGGCCTTTTGCCTCTATCAAGCCATACACAGCCGACCAAGAATCTCCAACCGACCGTATCCTGGTCTCTTATATTCAATTGTTCTATTCATGGTCTTGATATCCACATCCACTTCCCGTTGTTATATGTTTCTTGACATACCTCTCCCTTGTCTCGAAGATTCCGAATTTGAGTTTACATCGTAATCCGGTTTGATGGTTTTTATAAATTATTTCCCATCCAACTTGTGTTTTCCTAATTTTCTCCTAGACCGGCAGCTGGTCTGCCATAGTAGATTATTGCTGGTGGTCTCCGGCTGATGAATACGGGCTTTCTTTGGTAGAGAGTTGTTTATGAAAACCTGTATTGTTTTGGTCATGTTAGTGGTAGTTCTATAACTTTCAGCACCGTATATTTGAACTGTTCTAACGTTATTTTTGAAAGGTCTGATTTGGGGTTCAAGGTATTCTTTAATTGCATAAACGTTGCTCTTGCTGTGCCAATTCTTACCTCTACATCTGCATCAGATCCTCCTTATTTATAAGTGATACTGTCCAGGTACGTGAAGGCTTCCAGAGCTTCCCTATCAAACGTGATTTGGTTGATATTCGCTAAGTTGTACTTCAGGATCTTGCTTTTTCCTTTGTGGATGTTGAGACCTACTACTGCAGAAGCTGCTACTAAACTGGGTGTCTTTGCTTGCATTTGTTACTATGTATTTGATAGAAAGGTTAACTCATCTGCGAAGTTCAGGTTGCTCAGCTGTATCCAAGCTGTCAACTGTATTCTGTTTTCCTTGAAATATGCAGGTCTTCAAGATCCAACCATAAGACAAAGGGCGAAAGTAAACAACTTTTTATGATGCCGATCTTCGGTTGGGATGCATCCGCGAGCTGCCCTTCATGCATGACTTTACAGTGTAGTCCTCAGGTATTCCATAGTGTCGAAAAAGATTCCATAAGGTTCTCATAATCACGCTGTCAAATGCTTTCTCATAGTCAAGGAAGTTGATGTATAGTGACGAGATGTATTCAACCGTTCGTTCAATAATGATTGGCAATGTTACGGATTGCTTGGAAAATATTCTATCCTTTCAAAGTTTTTCATCTTCAAGTCGAAAGTCCACTGAATCTTTTGATCGGTTCAATGACATTTGAGTATTTTACTGGTACTGACAATGATATAGTATTTCTATGGTTCTCACGTTTACCTCATCGCTTTATATTTTCTATATCTATTTCCAAGTAGTCTGAAACTTATGTAAACTCTTTACATCTATAATTGTTGTACGATCCATCTTATCTGTTTCCGGACTTAATATAATTACTACGTCAACCTCCTATGTCTCCTTAATTCCGTCTCCAAATAACCTCACACCTGTTTATTCACAGACATAGTTATGATTGTTAACTTTTATTATTCTAATTTCCTCCATCATCAATGTTGATAACTTCTTATCATTGCATTTCTTAATGTCACCTTTTAATAGAAATATGGTTATAAGCAGATTATGAGTAACCACGTAATGTAATAACTTCATATTATTCTACCTAAATTGTCATTCTGGCTTTATTCAAACACTTATGTGTTGCTATTATCTTACACAGAATATAGCAAGTATACTGGCTATTCATCTATCTCTCAACAATAACAGTGGTATAAATCAATTCACCATTCATATACCTTAAATTTTGCTAAATATATTTATTATTATTCCATACAATATAACCTTTTATTTCTTATTACCTTATTCGTTGTTCTTTCTGGTTCTCTAATAATATTGGTATCCGCAATGTTATTCCCTCAATCTCCCTTCAATCTCTGTGTTATTCTAATTTAAAATAAGGCACGATAACTACACTAAGTTTATCATTCCTTCTTAGTATGTTATGCAATGTACACACGTTTGGAAATGTTTAATCGGTAGAGATTGAAACTTATAGTATACTGATTTTTAAAAAAATGACTCATGTAGTCCAACAGTTTACACAAAATAATTAACACTGACGAAAAAGAAAAATGAATCATTATAAAGTGATAGATAAACTGCTGCTTACAGCTCATGTAATATCTGTTCAAACTGGATGGTTGTTTAATTTTTAATTTTATTTTACATGTTTTTATACTAAATCAGATATCTTCGTCAGTGAATTTTTGAATAGGAGTAACTCTGAAATGATGATGCTACCCAGCTTGATGCTGGAACGTCTACTGTACAAAGCCTAAAATGAACAAATAGCTCAATTTGAACACATATTGATTTATATTGACTTCCTATTCTCATCGTTTAATTAAACGGTTTCTGAATCATCAGAAATATTATGGAGATAAACTAACTTGTTTTATATTTGTTTGATACTTCTGTTGTTTCATATAACATTTATTTCAGTATGCAGCATTTCTTCTAGTCATATTTTTGGCGCTGCTTGTATTCACTATTGTATTTGGAACACGTAAACACTGGGTGGGTTGATTCTTTTTATAATGAATTATACCAAATAAAATAGTAAACTCCCATGATTGCATGCTTTAGTATTATTTGGTTTTGTTAAACTAGTTACTTTTTTTTCGAAGACAGGAAAGTCTGACATTTTAATTATGACAATAAACGTATTTCGAAAGAAACACTGAAAAAGCCTTATTCTTAGCCTGTAATAGTACTTTACTCACCCAATAACCAGCTTCGAGCAATTGCAAGTACCTCATATTTGTCTAACCTGATATACGGTTACATATAAACAGTTTGTGATCAAAGATGGTCACAATGCTGGAAATAAATCATGGTTTCAAACCTATAAGGTCTATAGGTAAACTTAAGAAAGCCACATTGATTTCTCTATTCCTTCACACTTAGTTTAATTGCTAATGCATCTAGCATTTCAGTGAAAAAGTTACGTAACTGGTACACAATAAATATCATGGTTTCTAATAATTTAAAGGGCGAATTATCTGTATAGAGCAATTTATATAAGATTTGCATGTTGTTCTGAATAACGTGTAATAAATTTCATCAACTCAGTAAGTGCAATCAAACAAAAAGAGGAGAGTTTTTATTTAGAAAATCTGAATTTAATTGTATAATATTATATAAGTAGTACTACACAGAAGTAACTAACTTGGTTTTTGAAACCACAGACAGAAGTAAACAGTCGGGATTACTTTACAAGAAATTGTAATTATTGGTTGAAATCCCCCCATAATTATATTGAATGACAATACCCAGAATTACATTACTTATTCCTATGTACCCCATCTTCAAGTAAGTACTTGGGAGCAGTTGGATCATTGATAGATTGGTTCATTCAAGAACCAGCATTATTTAAATAACAATTTCCCAACAGTAACTAGCTTTAGTATGAATATCATTCAGATCTAACACAACTGTGATACTTGAAGTCAGCCCGATCGGAACTGAAACGAAATGGCTCCGACAACATAGGATGACGATAGTTTACCAAAAATAGAAAGTGAAGATTATTGAATTTCAACTCAGTAGATGGATAATATGTTCGGATTGACATTTAAAGGTCCTTGGTATGATCTTGTACAGATCGTGAATATTCCCTTATATTAAATCCCAGTCTATTGACTATTATTAATTCTCCAAATGCGAAACTCAAATTACGTTTTCATTACGTTAGCAAATCCAAACTTCTCATTTACTCATGTTAGATGTATTGTTTAAACGTCCATAATAAAATACTTACTTACGCCTATTACTCCTTGTGAAAGAGCATAGGCCGCACACTAGCATTCTCTGTCCTGCGCAATCCTTTCCAGCTCTTTCCAGTTCTTATTCATCCCTTTCATATCCGCTTCTATTTCCCGACGTAATGTGTTCTTCGGCCTTCCTCTTTTCCGCTTCCTTTCAGAATTCCAAGTAAGCACTTGTCTCGTAGTGCAGTTTGATGATTTGCGTCATATATGTCCTATCCATTTCCATCGTCTTTTCCTAATTTCCTCTTCAGCTGGAAGCTGGTTGGTTCTCTCCCACAAAAGGCTGTTGCTGATGGTACCCGGCCAACGGATGTTAAGTATCTTGCTATTGATAAATACTTGTACCTTCTTGATGGTGGTTGTTGTAGTTCTCCAAGTTTCAGCTCCGTACAGTAGAACTGCCTTGACGTTCGTATTGAAGATTCTGACTTTGATGTTGGTTGAAAGTTGTGTTGAGTTCTATATGTTCTTCAGTTGAAGGAATGCGGCCCTTGCTTTGCCGATCCTCGCCTTTGCGTCTGCATCCGAACCTCCCTGTTCATCGATGATGCTTCCCAGGTATGTGAAGGATTCCACATCTTCCAGAGTTTCGCCATCAAGAGTGATTGGATTGCTGTTTTCCGTTTTGTATTTGAGGACCTTGGTTTTCCCCCTGTGTATGTTGAGGCCTACTGATGCAGAGACTGCTGCTACGTTAGCTGTCTTTATCTGCATTTGTTCGTGTGTATGCGATAGGAGGGCTTGGTCATCTGCAAAGTCTAAATCGTCTAATTGATTCTGAGCTGTCTATTGTATGCCGTGTTTTCCCTCAGATGTCGAGGTCTTCATAATCCAGTCGACCACCAGAAGAAAGAGGAAGGGAGAGAGTAGACAGCCTTGTCTTGCTCCAGTCCTTACTTGGAATGCTTCTGTCAGCTGTCCTCCATGCACTACTTTGCACTGTAGTCCGTCTTATGAGTCCCGGATAATGTTGACAATCTTCTCAGCAACTCCGTAGTGTTGAAGAATTTTCCATAACGTTCTCCTATCTACACTGTCAAATGCCTTTTAATAATCAGTGAAGTTGATGTACAGTGACGAGTTCCACCCAATTGATTGTTCGACGATGATCCGTAGTGTCGCAATCTGGTCTGTGCACGACCGATCCTTACGGAATCCAGCTCGTTGATCTCGATGTTGGGAGTCTACTGTGTCTTTCATCCTGTTCAGTAACACTCTGTTAAATACTTTTCCTGGTGCTGACAGTAGTGTAATGCCTCTGTAATTTTCACACTTGCTCAGATCTCCTTTCTTTGGAATCTTGATAAGGTGTCCTTCTTTCCAGTCCATCGGCACTTGTTCCTCCTCCTAAATCTTCTTGAATAGAAGATGAAGCATGTTCGTAGTTACTTCGATGTCTGACTTCAATGCTTCAGCTGGTATATTGTCGGGTCCTGCTGCTTTCTCGCTCTTGATTTGTCTGATGGCCATTCTGATTTCTTCCGTCGTTGGTGGATTGGCATCTATAGGAAGATCTGTGTGTGCTGCTTCGACGTCCGGTGAATTCATTGGAGCCAGCTTATTCAGGAGTTCCTCGAAGTACTCTGCCCATCTGTTTCGCTGTTGCCGAATCTCAGTGATCGGTCTTCCTTCTTTGTCTTTGACTGGTCTCTCTGGTTTACTATATTTCCCTGCTAGTTGCTTCGTTGTATCATAAAGCTGTTTCATATTTCCTTCTCTTGCAGCTTTCTCCGCCGTCGTTGCTAGTTCTTCCGCGTATTTCTGCTTGTCGGCTCTGATGCTCTTCTTCACTTGCTTGTTTGCTTCTATGTACTCAGTTTGTGCTTGGACTTACTCTGCTCGTGTTCGACTATTGTTAATTGCTGTCTTCTTGTTCTTCGTTTCTTCGATCCTGTCCAGTGTTTCTATAGAGATCCACTCCTTGTGATGATGCTTCTTGGGACCCAGAACCTCTTGACACGTTGAAGTTAATGCTTCTTTGATACCTTTCCAGTTATCCTCCATAGTAGTTTCTTCTTCCTTCAGTAGATCCTGTAAGGCTTGGAACCTGTTGTAGAGAGCTATCTTGAATTCATTGAGTTTGTCAGTATTTCGAAGGAAGGCTGTATTGAACCTTTGTGGTGCTGTTTGTCCAGTTGTCCAGTTCTTCTTTAGCTTCAGTTTTAAATTGGCCACAACCAGGTGGGGATCTGAAGCTATATCCGCTCCTCTCCTGGTTCTCACATCTTCCATTGTCCTTCGGAACTTTTTCTGGATGCAAATATGATCTATCTGGTTCTCTGTGGTGTGGTGTGGTCCGGTGAGATCCATGTAGCTTTGTGTATACGTTTGTGTGGAGATATTGTGCCGCCTATGACCAATTTGCTGAATGCACACAGATTTGCAAATCTTTCTCCGTTTTCGTTCCTCTCTCCCAGTTTATGCAGTCCCATGATATCTTCGTATCCGGTGTTGTCTATTCCGACTTTGGCGTTTAGATCTCCCATCAGAATGGTGAGGTCCTTTCTTGGGCACCTCTCTATGATTGATTGCAGCCTCTCATAGAATTGACCTTTAATGTCGTCGTTGCTATCATTGGTGGGTGCATAACATTGGATAGTACTCATTGTGATCTCCTCCTTCTTTGTTTTGAATGATGCTTTGATGATTCTGGATGTGTGAGATTCCCATCCTACAAGTGCACTTTGTGCTACTTTGGACAGCATTAGAGCAACTCCCTGAGTGTGTGGAGCATTTTCCTCTTCGTGAACGGAGTCTAGCAACATCTCTCCCGTATTTAGCCTTTGTTGTCCAGCTTGGGTCCGATGGGTTTCGCTTATTCCCAGTACTGCCAAGTTGTATTTCCTCATTTCCGTTGCCATTTGACTGGTCTTCCCGGTCTCCCATATTGTCCGGACGTTCTGTGTACCTATACAAATTGTTGCTCTGGTTGTTAGAAGGGGCATCGGCATCATGGCTTCCGAAGGAACTCGGCTTTCACCCTGAGACGTCATATATCTTCTAAATGAAGAGCTTCTAACTTCCAGGGCAGAGTTTAAATGGTTTGAGTTATCTTTTCTGGGTAGCGTTTTTTTAGCGAGTTAGCTTTCTACGGGATGGGGTCGCTAACCCCATGCCCAACCCTCCTCCTTTACCCGGGTTTGGGATCGGCAGTAACTCTAGAAGCGCTACAGGCGGAGTTCCATAATAAAATAACCTATGAATAATTCCCATTTATTTCGGTTGTTGTAGTTTATCTCTTGTTTATACATTCCGTATTTCATTGAGTTTATTTATATTATGTATTTAAATTCCAGTTCCGTGATGAGTTGGGTATAAGTTATAGAAGATCAATTACTGGTGATTATCATATGGACAATAATTTTCCACCAAACACCGGTTTTACTGTATTTGTTAATGAAATTCAACAAAAGGTAAGATCCATGGGTTTGTTTTTAGACATTTATATGCATTATTTCCACTGTTTATTTGAATGGAAATCAAAAATAAGTAACCTATTTAGATTTACTATTGACTAAGTTCATTAAAATAACAGCCATAAATATGTATGGCAAGCAGAAGTATGCTTGTTTACTGAACAATAAATATAAAAATCGCATTTAGAGTTTTCGATCAAGTTTCTATGTTCTGTTCTGCATGCCAAGAAAGCTGGACGATAGATAAAATGTCATCTATTAATAGCTAGTTTTGATACTAAGACTTAACGTAACGACACACTAAAATCAACTTCACTCCATAAAATACAAAATCATGAATACAGAACAATTTACTTTTGATTTAATAATGTCTTATTAACTGAAATAAAGACTATTATTTCTAACATAAATATTAGATACAAATTACATATTGAATAGTCCATGGAGAGGCATTGGTGAAAATAAAGGTTATGTATTAATAAGTAAGCTGTTATAACTTAGGTTAAAGAAGGGTACCTGAACATTGAAATAATTAAAGCTATAAGAAATTATAAGTAAGCGGTATTTGTTTTCACATTTTTTTAATTTTAAAGGAGAAAGAGATTATAAATTCAGCAATTTCTCACCATTTTCTAAAAGCAGGGAGATAGATACATATAAGTAAGTATTAACTGGTAAGACGGTTGACTTATGGTCCTAGTTATATCGTGAGATCATAACTTACTAAGAATCGATTAAGTAATCGGGAACTATATATATATATATATATATATATATATATATATATATATATATATATATATATATATATATATATATATATATTTCATACATGGTGATGCAAAGCTTGTAGCTTTTTACATTTCCTAAGTAATTGACCTTTTATCGAGTAATGTGTGTAAGCTTACCCATAACAGTTGTTTGATGAAATAAACCATTATTTATGGGATTTTTCTGTATCCACGTACTTTTTTCAAGTGTTCAATGAACACTGTCAACTAAGCACACATTAATAGCAGTTGAGAATATGTCACATACACTGTTATTTGTGCAGTTATTCAGCAAAACCACTAATTTTTGACAATTTTAGAGAAAACGAGTGTACTTGGTCAAATTGAAATAAAACTTAGGTTTTTCGAAACTCACATAAGTGTTTGTTGGTTACTAAAGCAATGTCAGCTATGAAATTATGACTGGTATGATTGAAGTGTAAGCTTCCACTTGACACACAAACACAAGGATATTTTAAAAATCAGCAGATATACCATAGATGATATTCAGTTAGATTTCAAAAAAAATATTTTTATCACCATTATCTAGCTGATTAATTAAACACTTGTCTATTTTTATTCAAATCAAGCATAAATGCTGTGGTTCTTTTGACTATCGTGACTTCCAAGATAATGAGTCATTCAAACGACAAAATTGTAAGTGCGATTCATTGTTCTAATCATTCAAAGGTTTACTGGAAAGTAACGTTTTTATATGTTCATATTTATAGATTATTTGAAATATGAATTATTATTCCCTTCTATAATTACGTCACACGAAGACTGTTATGTTACACTGAGAACAGTGTCAGATCGATTTATCTATAAATATTTATATTTCGTTGAGTTTTGCTACTTCATTAATATCCCTTGTAGGACCCGATGATACATTCAGTATAAAGTGGAACTAAACAATTGATCCATATTGTCTTCAATCCTGTTCAGAACTCAAAGGGTTTTAATGAGTCTTCTCTGCAATCTGATACATTTTTGGACCAGAAATTACGTTCATAGTCTTATTGTCGTCAATATAAGGTTCTCATCGATAATTTATGTAGGTGGTTGTACATATAGATCTAACAACTAATTTAAAAAATACTGTTAAAAATGCCCAATTTAATAATAATCTATTTGTAAACCTAAACTGTAGCAAAGCGTAATATGAGTCGGTAGTCTTTCGTTATCTAACGAAATTGAATTTTACCTATTTGAATCATTTTAGGGTGTCATACGTGAAGTCTATCACGAAATATAACTTGAATTCAGACTGTCTTCACTGAGTTGAGTAATTTGAAATTGATCTTAAGGGTGATACCATAAAGTTACCCAGAAAACTGTAACTTATATTTCATGTCATTTTGGAGGTTTTATGTTCTCTGAGTTAAATAGTTTAGTTGTGGAGCTTTCGTTGTCTTTCTAGACAAAGTCATCAACGCACATCTGTAAAATATTTGAGATACCACTAATAACTAAATAAACTTCATCCATGTTAAGTTATTAAATATGATGACGAAACAATCATGTGGTCTGTTTCCTTTTTTATGTATTTTCTAAAATAGAATCAATATTCTAAAATACTGGTAAGTTATAAAGAAATAAACTACTTTACAACTAGAAATAGATAAATTGAAATTAATCTTAATTTAATGAATTTGACAGATTCATTCGGATAACTGATGGCGTATCAAAATGTACATTCGAGACTATTAGGAATTCTAGGAGTGCTCTGATTAGTCGAATACTTTATAAATGAATGTATGCTTGAGAAATACAAATAATTTACTAGCCTTGATAAAGAAATGTTAAAAATTGCTAACACACATATTACTGAGGAGTTTGCTAGTCGGAAGTGAAATCAAGTATTAATATCGAACTTTATAAATAAATTAATTAATTTAATGACTTAAATTTCCCATTTTTTAGATAAGATTCCAGCCTCTTGTTGTAAAGATATAAAAGACAAAGAATGCTGGGAACGTCCAACAACACAGAATAGTTATAAAGACACTGTGAGTTTTAATTTTTACCTTTTCACAGGTCGACCTGAAAATGCTACTAATGACAGAATGTAAATTTGTTTAGAATACAATTATTTATATTCATTCAAGACTCTTCCTCAAATTTTTATCAGTGATTATACTTTATTTTTCAACTAAAGTTAAGGAGTTCGATTATCTATATTTTAGTATGTAACTACTCTACCATTATCAGTGTCTGAAAAATGTTAGACAAATATCTTGCAGTTCTATTCGATAAAATCAGAACACTGGTTATAGTACCTATTTAAACATTGTTCACTAAGATAAAACCCTTGTTTTCCATAACTAAATATGAGAAATTATAAGCTTTAAATTATATAACAGTTAAGCAGAATACTCCAATAAACATACGAGAATACGCTTGTTGTAAACATTTTTACGGATGGTAGTTGACATGTCATGATCTGTTTCATCCTTCAGTATTACCATTATCCATGGCTTTAAAACATACCGGGTAGCTGAAGTGAAGTTTTATTGCCTCTCTTAAGTTACTAACTTTACATAAGAAAAGACTACATTCGTTATTTGTAAGTGGAAGAATAGTTTGAAAACCACCGCAAGAGAATGAAATCAATAATTCTATCTATATGAGGGTTCAAAAATTATGCTGAGTAAGATATGTGAATGTTATCTGTATGGATATGGTAAATAACAACCATTTTTTACCACTAATTACTGGTCTTCTTTGAGATTTATGTTTCAAGTTGAAACTCGGTGGTAATGAATTCAATACCGAGGAGGATACATAAAATGGATCATGGAGAAGTACTAAATCAGGTCAAACTCGACTTTCAGTTCTATCTGATTTTGAAAGATATTATACTCATCATGAGTTGGCGTTTAAACTTAGCTTCAAGATTACTAGATGCTTTTAAACAAATCACAAACTTTCTACAAATCCCTGTAGTGTCCTATCAACTTTTGTCATTTTCAAGAGTGAAATTATCCAGGTATACAGAGTAAAGCAATATCAGGAATGTTCAGATTACACTTGAGTATTTATGAATACACACCTCTTTGGTTTAACAGTATCAAAATTGTAAACAGCTGGACTATTTGTATAAGACTCAACTTTTGATAGGTTTATAGGACAGTGCTCCAGTTAACGCAACTGATTTAAGTAAAATAGATCTGATTTAATACGAGTTAGAAGCTAAACATTGTAGGAGATATACCCTACCATTGAGTAAAAGAATCTAGAAGTGTTAACGTTTTACGAGAGAAAATGAGAAGCAGTTTGTAAAGTTCAACCCAAATGCCATTAGTCTGGAAGTATAGATTGTCATACTCTACTTTTCCGATTACAAAAAGTGGAAAGTACAGCTGAAATTACAATTGATTAATACCAACCATTGGTTTAAATTTGAAATGTTGATTGAGCATTCGGTCACTAATTTGGGCTTTAAAGATATTGTGTTTGCGATGAAGCCTGGAACCCACGTCCTCTACCCTTTGTAAAGAGCTCTAAACAGGATTAGCACATGTATTCAGTGTTGTCAAGTTTGTACTGGTTTTTCATGTTATATCACTTCATGACAAAAGCTATATATAGTCACTGAACATAAGACAGAAGTCGGCAAAGTTGTTATTGTAATTATCATTACCAAGATTTGATTTGATAATTTCGAATAAATTGAGCATTGGGTAGATTGCTACAAATAAATAATATATTTGTAATATTCCAATGAGTGGAAATATTAGATTTTCTGACGTTTCGTGGCTTAGTGTAAGTCACTTCTTCAGAGGATAAATGATCAAAAATATCAAAATATTGCAAAAAGGCTTTTCCAATTACAAAGAAAGGTGAGTAGCTGAAGCGTTCCATATAATGCTTAATCGTACTTCTCTCAATAGAAAAGAAGGCCTTACCATACATCCTACTTGGACTATCTATCCTAGCCATTCAGTCTGATCTTATTTACAATTCACACTATCATCGTACAAATTAAACTCTACCCTCTCTCACCATAAATGTCACACAACAATTTTTCATTCTTGAACAGTACACACATATATACACACAAATTTACATACATATCACTTATGAATCACCTTGACCGAAATGACATGACATTAATTTGTTCAGACCTGTTTTTGATTGATCACATATTACTCTTATTGTTCCGTTGTACTATTTAAACTTGGATTAGTTTTAATTTGGTTATTTATTCTCCGAAGAAGTGACTTACACTGTCACGAAACGTCAGAAAATCTAATTTTTCTATTCATTGGGATATTAAAAATATATTATTTATTTCACTTGATATTGTTTTATTTGAATCTTCCCATTGATGTTTAGGACTGAAATTTTTCAGTCTCTTATTGGCATATGTGCATACTGTGCGTATGCCTCGATATTGCCTTAATTTACAAGCATTATAAGCAAAGATGGATAGTGGCTAGCAGTGGAATCCAGGACGCGCGTTTCGTCCTATTTGGGACTCGTCAGCTGGATGTACCTGCATCTCAGAGTTGATGTTCACTCCGGGACTCGAACCCAGCACCGTCCGCTTCAAACGCCATCGCGTCATCCACTTAGCTACTGAGTCCTGATAGCCACTTGCTTGTGATGTAATGTTGATTATTTTGTTTCATGTCACTCAGTGTCATGTGGCCTAATTATTTTAAGCATTTTATTTTCAGTCACTTGTTTATACATTCAAAAGTTCTTTCATCTATATTGATTTATACATTCAGTTATGATTCACATTTGTTATAAACGGAAATATAGTTCAAGGGAGTCAGCAAGAGAACTTATACTTGGATCACGTCATTTTACAATTTAATATGATTTTCTCATTCACTCCTTTTATTTGCTATTTTTATTCACCCTTTTCAGGGTTGTTTCGAGTTTCTATGGTCAGCGGCACAACCAAGCTATCGAATTATTCTTTATATCTTGATTGGTCTGTTATTACTTACGGTTAGTTAAGTAGCTTATTTTTTAAATTCAAGATCTAATTTATAGGAATTATATATAACATGGTGCCTTCATTAATTTAACCAAGGCCAAAACACTATGAATAATAAAACGAATCCATTCTATTTCGAGGCTTCTCATCAGTTGCAAACAGCTTGAAGTCGCAAAGATCACAAAGATCGAAATTGAATACAAGATTCAGTACTGCAGTAAATTAAAGGTATTACATAATTATATGTCAAAAATAAGATAAACAACTAGCAATGTAAATTAGAGTTAACTACCAGTAATTATCGTCTAGTCTTTGATAATATTTTATCATAATTACTGGTAGTTAACTCTAATTTACATTGCTAGTTGTTTATCTTATTTTTGACATATAATTATGTAATACCTTTAATTTACTGCAGTACTGAATCTTGTATTCAATTTCGATCTTTGTGATTTTCAGATTCGTTTCAGATTTCAGTATGAACTTGGCCAACTAAAATGTGTCATACCTTTGTTTCTAATCACATTGATCTTTGTGACTTCAAGCTGTTTGCAACTGATGAGAAGCCTCGAAATAGAATGGATTCGTCTTATTATTCATAGCAATTAATTGAATAAAAAGTTCAGTACATTGCTTGTTTAACATTATCAAAGTATTCTATAATTGACAATATCACCGAGTACGTTTTCTGCAATTATGCCAAAAAATAAATCCCTCACTCGAATCCAAAATAACCGGAGAAGTAAACGTAACTAGACTACTCAAAAGTAAGAAGTGATTAAAATCATAAATCGATCAATGTTAGACCACTATTAAAAACCTGGAAACACTGGAAGGCCCCTTCGTTCTAGTATGAAACTCTTCGGCAGTGAGTACCCACGATCCCTCACTCGGGATGGTCACGCAGTACTGTGGATTGATTAACATTAGACACTAACACTGTTGGATTCCGGATCAGTGGTCTAGAGGCTAAAAATTCGCGCGTGAGATAGTGGATGAGCACCACTGAGGAGTCTCATGCTGTGACGAAACAGTCATCCAGTGCTTCCAGGTTTTAAATAGTGGTCTAAAATTGATCGATTCATGATCTCAATAAAAACTCAACGATCTCTATATCTCTACAATGATAAGAAGTGATTGTTAAATTAATTATCTACATGTTAACTCATATTTTGAGTCCTTTCAGTTCTAAATGTTATAATGGGGAAAAATATTACATGACTAATCATTTGATTTGGTTGTAGCCGGGTGATGGTTGCGCACCAAACTCAACTTATTGATGCAATGCCCTACTGAAAAGCTATTAAGAAACAGAACAACCAGTTACCGAAAATAAGTTGGTTCATGTGATAAAACTGCGTGCCTGTGTACAAACATTTTTTTACCAAATCAGTATTATTAAGATTGATTTAAAAAGTAAATAGCTGTATGATTCCTATTTCATAGGTCATTAATTTATGAAATTAAATGCTGATTAACAGGTTTGCTTAATGTCCACCACAGCATTGTTATGATGAATCAACAGGGAGAATAAGATCCTACATCCCCGAAGAAATAGTTGAGATTAAACTCAAAGAAGTAGAGTACAGTCCTGATTACTTTTGCAGCTGTTAGGGGAAGCAAAAATGGTCTACAGTAAAATTATAGGTATTAGTCAATGTCTATTGGAAACTAATGGTTTGACTAGAAAAAATCATTTTCTAAAATGATATTGTTCAAAATCTCCAGGATTTTGCTTCAAAGTAGACTGGTGATTTCATTTCTTTTCATTAGTTTAAAAGACAGGATCAATTTATAGCTACCAAAGCTGGACGTTTATCGTTTATTTGTAATGATCTGTTTATAAAATATGGTGAACAAATATCTCTTGACAGAAGTCAGTCAAACTATAATAGGATCATTAGATTTCGGCTTATAGGTAGCTATTTTATGGATAAATTAATTAAAATCGAAACCTATCGAGCAGTCTAATTTACAAAACGCAACATATAACAACATATTACACCACCACACAAATAACTGTAAACTCATCTTTCAGTTATCAACCGTCTTACTTGGTGATTGCTATATTTCTTTTTGTTTCCTTTTATCCCATAGTTTACATTCGCGATTATCTCTATCTACTTGCTTACACGATATTCAAGGGAGAAAATGCAATTGTTGTAGAGAAAACAAACAATTTCACCATTTTATTTGCTTTATATCTCTGTCTCACCTAATATCCCAGTTGAATTTATCTTTAGCACATACACCCTATTCATTTAACGTATTATATACAAATATCTAGGATCATCATATAAATTTTAAAATGCGAAACTGTCAATTTATAAATATTTGATTATGGTTACACTTTTTTGTCATCAGTGTACTTCCTATTGATCACTTAAACACACGTCCAGAGTTAAATTAGCGCCAAGTAAGAGTTTCGATTTAGAAAACAACAAAACAAAAGAATACTGTAAAAAGTGAACATTTTAAAAAGGTATCCTGTAAAATTAAATTTAACTGGTCTTTTCCTCTTATTTAAAACTCTTAATCCATCTTCAAAATGTTACAAATAAAATATTTTAAAAGCGAAAAACATTTAATTTAAAAAAAGCCACTAGAAAAAAATCTCTTATCTAACTTCACTTTATTGTTATGCGGACATCTATTAATAGTCACCTGATATGTGTTATTCTACCTGCTTTCTTATTTTATACATATCATATAAACATTAATCTACATTATTCAAGTCATATTAGCGCCCAACCAATAAAAATTGCACATGGCTTTAATAATATGCAAGTATTACCGTACATTTTCATATGCTCTATGTACATGTAGTATATATATGCTTATCATTCTGCTAACATATTCACCTATTAAATATACTTCATGTTTATACCCCATCCATTTTATTATTGATTATTAATCATATTTTTTTAGAATTTTTATTGTTAATATTTATATGCAAATTAGTTAGAATTGAAGGTGAACAACATTTCATATTAGAGTTAATTAATAGTCATTTAAAGTTTATCTGAATTTCTGAAAATTGAACAGATGATTTTCGTATTCATATCAGAAGGGGTTTTGTGGATATTATAGTAATTTCAATGGTTGAAATTATGAGTCAATTGAAGCTAGACCACCATGGAAAACCTGGAATCACTGGATGGCCGTTTCGTCCTATTGTGGGACTACTCAGCACTTAGACATTAACACCGTAGTTTAGTGGTTAAGCGCTCGAGCGCGAGACTGATAGGTACTGGGTTAGAATCTCACGGGGTGGAATCGTGGGTACGCACTGCTGAGGAGTCCCACAATAGGACGAAACGGCCGTCCATTGATTCCAGGTTTTCCATTTTGGTCTACCTTCAATTGACTCATGATTTCAACCATTGAGATTTTCTTGTTGTTCAATCACTGATCATACCTTACCTTTATACAGTGGTTTAAGCTGTTGTTCATCATAGAAAATATTCATCCGACTGCAAATAATTCATTGTGTAGCTTATCGTGCACAAAATTATACGTGAGCTAATTGAATAGGAAGAGAATCTTTGTGAAACCTTAGAATTCATGACTACTCTACCAAATAAGGAAACTAATTTCCTTTCATTTTCTTATCTAATCTACAAGTGTCCATAATATATATTTGTTGACAATTTGATTAACATGTACGTTGTCGTAGAACAGTGTAAATGATCTAAAATGACGAGTCTAAAATTGTGGTACTCAGTTTTCTGAATCATACGCAGCCTACTAAATCCCTACGTCTTTAAAGTTCACGAGCGTGCTATTTTAAATTTTTACTTCGAATTTCGTAGATTCCTAGTCAAAAATGGTTAAAAATTCCATCTTCTGAAATCATGGACGGTAGTTGCTGATTTATATATTTTTATTACAATTAGCATTGATCACTTTCATTGATGTTCTTCTCCCACTTTTCAAACAAACATACACATCTTAAAATAGTTGAACTCACAAATAATATTATAAGAACAAATCAGTCCTCCTGTTTTATGCCAGTATGAACACTAAATAATTAAGTTCCTTATTTCCATAAAAATTTTTCGATCTAATAATTCTTTGGATAGAAGACAGATTCTCCCAGAAAATTTCAAATGACAAGTCCTAGAATTCGATTTTACATTGAACATTGGTGACACTAATCATACCTATACTAAGAAATAGCAACATACAAGGTGTTCAAACTATGATGCAAGACTGTATACAGCATCAACTCGTTTAATAGTAAGATAAGTGCGGATATATATATATATATATATATATATATATATATATATATATATATATATATATATATATACTTTTTAGTTGTGCATACGCGCATTTCATTTTGCTTCAAATAAATAAGCATGGTTTTTTTCAACAAAGAATTCGGCTAATAGTCTACTGTCAGACTGAATATTTTAAGTATTCGCAAACTTTTGGACTAAAGAATAATGCGAATTAGGACGACACGTTATTGAGGGCCATGGGTCATCTAATCACAATTAACCAAAATTTAAAATATAAGATAGGATGAAGAATTTGGTGTTACGGAAAGTTATATGGGAATATATTTCAGGAAAGTTGTAACAAGCTGATGACCAGATGAGATTAAAATTTTCTCAGTCTAATGACTTTGTGTAATCTTTATAAGAATTTAACTTCATGCTTAGTAAGGGATAACAACTAACAATTTCAACTAAAAATACCGGCTATGAAAATTGAAGTTAGTAAGACAATGACGAATTACAAGCAAAGATGAATGGCGGCTGGTAGTGGAATCCACTCCGTCTGAGACTCGTCAGCTGGGTGTGTCCGCATCCTAGAGTTGATGTCAACTCCGGGACTCGAACCCAGTACTATCCGCTTCGAAAACCACTACGTTATCCACTTAGCTACTGAGTCACGATAGCCGCTACTTTGTGAAATGGGTTGAAGTTTAAATTCACTTGTTATTGTTTACTTGTATCTTCCCATTGTTGATGCAGTCATAAACAACAATTGAAAATACAAGCAAACAATACTAAGTGAATTTAATGACGAATTACGTTTAGATATAAACTTTATTGGCAAAAATTGAGATTGAGAAAATGATTTCAGATTTCCAAGAGGTAATAAAATGTACTTTGATTTTTACAAAGTAGATTTCTTAGAAGTTTCGCATTGAAATACAAAGAAGAGTTGTTTAATGGGTAAGTTAAAAATAAAGCAACCATACTGACTTACTAATAAAGACTAATTGAAACAGTATTAGTTTGGTGAGTAGAATCACTAGTAGAAACGAGTTATATGTTAGAATTTTATGTTGAAATTAAAGTGTTAGCAAGAGACAATATTTCAAATTCATAGAATCACAAATTTTTATACAAGACGAAGGGATCAGCAAATATATGGACCCTATAACTAGGAAGATACTGTCAATAAGATTAGCATAAGACATCTAATAAAATAAAAACACCAGTTACACGAAAAGGATGTTCGGTTTTGTATGCTTATTTTAGAATTGTTAAGTTTTTGTAACTAGCAAAGCATATTGTTATTTTGACAGGAGTCAGACTAGATATATACTTCAACTTGTTTTGAAAATTTAGTAATGAAAATGTTTTATCATCTGTTGTTCATAGGATCAGTGGGTTTAACCTAGGCTAAGCAAAATGGTACATCGAGTTTACTTCTATAAATGCTTACTGCATTAGTAGGAATACTTCTAATTGTATTTATTGCGTATCAAAGTCTAAATTCTCGGATGGGACGATAAAGTTACTCACCAGCGTAAACAAAACGTGTGATTAAGTAACAAATTCAGTGTTTGAATCACGGTTTTCAAGTTTGATGAATGAATGAATAAATAAGAGAAATCGTTTTTCGTTATATTAATGCAATACATCAGTGTCACTATGATCTCTAAAATTAGTTGAAAGACCGATACTATGATATCGGATGTATCTGACTAACTGTAACCATCATGTATTAAATTAAATTGGTGATAGCAAAAGACCAAATCCTGTTTCTTGAAAAATTCTCAGCATAATTAGTGTTTATAAGTTTTTGAGATTTATTTGTGTTAGTCCTACAAGGAAATGTACTAACCGTTCGGTCCTCAATAACAAAGACATATTGTAGATATTTAATGAAATTCAGTGTGAAAAGACACTTCATAAACTGTCGACTCATGACCAATGATGCTTTTGGTTCTTTTGTCCAATTGCTTGACAGTAGTAGGATTTATACTATTTTGAAAAACGTAACGAAGATTCATTGTCCATAGTTTTTAAATTATTTCAGATGGATTTGGAAATCCTCATGCTCTTTGTACTAACCTGGATATTTTTAAAATATAAGTATAAGGAAGAACCAAACATGTATGTTTAAGAAGATATCAACAAAATAACATTGTAAACTTATAAGAAAATAACTTTATGGGCCTTGCTGCGTGCATAAAGTTGAACCAATCTGTTCAACCTAAAACTTTTGAGGAATAAATTTCACTATGGTATTGTAATTTCAGATTATAGTCGTATTAAATAATCGTTTTGAGCTACTTTGATTTCTCCATTTATTTCAGGAGTGTATTTTTAAAATAGAACTATTTAATTGGTTGGATATAACTTATGCTTTCTTAAGTGATATTTTCAGTACAAAACCTAGTTATTGGTTGACAACTAACGTCATGTTTATATTTTTATTACTGACAGAAATTAACTTGAGTACTCTAGTTTTTAACTTGGATGGTTGTATTCGATGATTTATGGTTGGTTGTCTGAATTCAGTTGACAGAGATTTATAAATAAACAATATCTCACATCTAAATGTACTGTTTTCATGCAGCTATTTACCTTAACAGTACTAAAAATCATTGAATCACACGCTATTATTAAAAATAAGGTTTTTATTTGAATTTGAAAAGAATATATTTCTCGTCATTTTAGGGGTGTTGCAATCGTATGAAACAACGAAGAGAATATTAAGTGAATGGCCTTTAATTACTATGTATTTATCAAACCATTAAAAGTAAAAATGATAAATAATACAAGGAGTTCGACGCAGACAGTTATTAGGTTATTGATTGTGACACTGGATATCCTAAACTTTTGTGCTAGTTAGCACGTCAAAGGGTTACTTTCGCTGCTCAGGGAAGTGTGACTCATAGAATCCGCCAGGCTTAATAATATAAGATGTTACTTTTGAGCTGTAACTGATCTGTATGACCAAGATCATTCTCCTCAAGATTACAGGTACATCTTGTTAGTCGGTGCCATGTAATAGAAAACCCTGGTCTAGGGTTTTCTTATTGAGAACCTCTAATCACCTAGCACAACCTAGACTGTTGGTTGCATTGAAACTTAATCGGTAAAATTTGATCAACTCTAAGGAATAAGTAAACAGGACATTACTATTGAAAAGTACTCAGCCAATGTAACCATTTAGCTTGATGACCACATTATAAACGCAGTTGGTAGGATCCATTCTACTCTTCAGTGATCAATAAGTATACAGATGCATATCTCAATCAGTCACTTGTCTTCATTTAATCAGTGTGCACTGGAACGGATGGTAGGACATAATTGTACAGCTAGTCTGATTAACAGAATATATCTTTTTTAACTACTACTAATTCACAGATGGTTGTTTCGTTTACCTAGCTCTAGCCTAAACATTTTTACATCCCCATTTCTATGCCCATATCAGTATCAACCAACATAATGGATTATTTTGAGAAAAAGCCAAAATGTGAAACAAAATACCTTCAATGTATTTCTTTATTACTGGCATTAAAAATAATTATGTTTATAGAATGCTTTTTCACTCGACTATGTGTAACATTTATCAAACAGACCAATAAGGAAAAACTTGAGAGACAGAGAAAAAAGAAAGATAGGCAAGTTGCCTGGGTGAAGGTAACAGAAACGATAAATGAGATAAACATGTGTGCAATTCAAAATACACACAAAATACGATAAATTTACTGCAACGATGCTGATAATGATAACAGTAATAATAACAACAAAAATAAAGGCAAT